CCTGGCCCCGGGGCGCGGGACGGAGCCTCCCCCGAGAGCTGCAGTAAGCGCCAAGGTGAGCGACGCGATGATGTTTGTGTGTGCGGCAGGGGGGTCCATGCTCTTAGCAGGATGCAAGGTTAATTTTACCGACTTAGGGCTGTACGGACCCAGACGGGATGCTCATCGCATGAGAAACTTGTACTGATTTACGGGGAATGACCGGCGAATCGCTGTCCGGAGCGGGGATGCGGAGAAGTAGGAGCCGTGGCGGTTTCCGGGCTGCAGGACTCCTGCTCCCCTGGTTCTAAGGAGCAAACTGCAGCGAGGAGCCAGGTGCTGTTCTGCTTGTAGCACAGGGGGCTGCCGGTGCCCTGGATCGGGTGCTTTTCCCCGAGGTGTTTTGGGGAGCAGGTTAAAGGCAAGTACAATATTTACGAGAAGCGATGGGCTGCCAATTTCCACGTGCGCTCGCTGTGTGCACACTAGGTTTGGGGCAGGGGAGAAAAGACACTTTCAGGTCTTCTGGGAGCCTTTTTAGATGAACACAGGCATGCTAGAGAAAGATGTTTTCAGGTCTTGTCTGCTAGCCTCAGCTTAAAGACGGTTTTGTAGAATTTGCAGAGTGAGGTTGGTTTCTAGCTGCATTACAGTTACGGGAATAACTCTCCTATGTGCAAAACTGGAGTTTAGAAGTGTGTGTTTGTGAAATCAAGTGGCCTGTCCTTCCCCTCAGTGAGGTGAGGTGAGGCCTGACTCGCTAAGTGCTTGCACCTGGGATGCCACCATCACAGCCAGCTGTGCCTCAGGCTCTTCGAGGGGCACCACATGCCATAAATCACCATGCATTTAATCATCTTCTATGCATTTAATCATCTTCTGTTGTATTTCCAAAGCACCCAAACCAGTTGGCCCAAATTTCAGTAATGTTATTGAAATTCCCTTTTCCCTGTGCTTTGGTTGTATGAGGGCTAACTTTGACATGTGCTGCATGTTTAAGAAGAGACACTTCATCCCTCTGCAGAGATGCGCTGTGTCTGCATAGACAATTGTTTTGCTCTTGGCTTTTCTTTAAGAACAAATATGTTTGCAATGCTGTGGCTGGGCTAATTAACTCTGCACTTTTGGGATTCCTTTCTTCCTGCTTGGAACTCGGGAACTTCAGCTTCTTAGTACTTTGTGGAGTCAAGTCCTTTTAAGCTACCTGAGACGCACAACATTGGATGGCTGCTACTGAAATGGTCGTTTGGCTTCTCAAAAGTTACAGTCTCTTGGGATGTTTTGATACCTTGTTGTCATGGTGAAAAGATTGCTCTGGTGATTTCTTCGAAGAAGGAGCGGAATTCACTGGATTCCGGTTTCACTGACTGAGGTGAACAAATATGCAGATTTTGCCACCTGTGAGACAACAGCAGATGAGTTTTGCGAGGTCTAAGTGTGATTGTGTGCAGCTGCATTAAAGGCCATAGCAGGACACCTGTGTATAAATCAGGATCATATTGCATAGATGTTTTGAAGGAATAGCGTGCTCACAGCTATTCTCCCATCCCTAACTTCCTACATATTTCTCCAGTGCAGTCTGCAGCTGCCCCAGTGCATTGTTGCTCTGTTTGACTTGGATACAAGTGCTGCTGCCCCGCTCTCTGGTGCTCTGGGTATTGTTTCCTGCGTGCCAGCTGGTAGCTCTGCCCTCAGCATTGGTGTGGAGATAGTGGCTTATAGGAGTCAGGTCATTTCCAGCCACGTTTTCTTCTGAGTGCTGAGAATCATCACCCGAATAGTGGTGTCTTCACGGTCTGGGGACTGCTGCCAGCTGGTGCTTAGGCTGGAAGTATCAGCATCAAAATGATGACTCTAAAGCATAGGGGGTTTGGAAGCAGTGAGAGTCAGGGATTTGCCTCTTTCTAGAAGCCAGTCCACTCACTAGCAAGAAAGAAGGCTCTGGATGATTTTTGACCTGACGTTCCAGACAGTCTGCACTAAGGATTTGTAGAAAGGTAAGGATAACTCTGTTCGAGTGTACTTTTCTTTCTCCAGTTTTTTAGGTAGTAAAGCCTCTGCTCTGAAGAAAAAACGGACAGTGGGGTTG